TTCCTTCATTTTTGTTAAAGTGTACCTCATAGTCAGAATCATATAGTTGGATGATTGAGATGAGGTTGTGTTTCAACCCTTGCGTATATGACACCTTAAAAAACGTCATAGATTTTTACTTCAAAGTTCCATGACCTTTTATGTTACCTTTGTTTGATGGACCTATTTGTTTGAGATACTTTCTAGAAGAGACTTTAGACTTGTCATATTCTTGGAACAACCATTATCTAGATACCAAATACTAATGTCCTTATGGTCACAATTCAAGGACAACTTGATGCTTAACATAATGTTATCATCGTTTTGATTCCTTTTTCATATGGACAGCTTGATGCTTCATGAAATCAATCAAAACAATTATATCATTTTCTTTTTCTAGATTTCTTTTTACTTGTTAAGGAAGGTTTACTCTTGAAAGTTTTAATAGTGTGAGAGATTTTTAACTTTTCAAATCTTGTTAGTTGATATGGCAATATTTAATTATATATTTTATATCATTATCTTAATTTATTTGAGTAAAAATGTTATATTTTAAGATATATGATATTTAATATTCTTTGAAATGTTCAATTACAGTTAAAATGGGAGGTGAAATGTAAAAGAATGAGAAATTAGCTAAAAAGACACTAAAAGGATGTTGTTGGACAACTTGACCTATTGTCGGTGTTTTGACCATATCTCATGACTCGTAGGAACAACTTCTTCGATAATTTGACTGATAGGGATAGACAAACTTTCTGTTATCATTTCAAGCATATTATTACGTGAACGAGTCATGAGAGGACACCGTTGTTGATTGCCAAAGTATATCAACAACAAAGAATATAAAAGAACAATGCAAAGTACTTTAAACACGATTCTTTTTAATTAATAACAATTTCATAAAGTAAGATTTAATCATAGCACATACTTTGATTAAGAACTTACTCTTGGGAATAATATTTACTTAACAAATCATTGACTATATAAAAACATAATGCCTAATAATAATAAAATGCTATCGTCACATAAATACTAGGTATTTTAGTCATTGTAATCCTAAACATCAGGGAGTCTTCTGTTAATCTTGGAAACTTTATCTTGACTTTATTAATGTCCATCATTAACACACCCTAGGCCATCAGCATCAACATAATTAATAACATATGATTTACCCTTTAAGTCAATAAATCATAGGGTTTGAGCCAACGTAATTCCATTACACATAATAGGATGATTATATGAAAAATCATTTCAAATTAAAGCATGGAAGTAAGTTTCAGGACATGTACTCCGACTATAACTCACAATGATATTTACAAGCCCTTTCCTTTACTTCTAGAGTTGATTGAAAATCAAATAGTCACTTATTCTTCACAATAATACCATTAATCAATGATTAATTTAAATAATGTCTAAACCCTTTTCGAAACCACATTCAATGACCCGAAATATGTACTAAACTCTTCATACATGTTTTAATGTATAAAATATCATTCAATTACATCCTCCAATTATAATTTACAAACTCAACAGGGAGATTAAAAGCACAAAGTTAAATATTCTCAAAATATTGACAAAATTACTTATTAATGTTTCAGTGACCAAATTACTTTTAGATCTGCATGAATTAATCATAACAGATGCTTCCAATCGACTTTAGGTGACACTTATTCATACTCATTGTGATTAATCCATTTAACAACATAATTAGATTCAAAGTGTTAAATAAAAAACCTCATCTTCATATATATGCTTGAAATCACAAAGAAGATCAAATTGAAGACATTAACTTGCATACTTACATTAACATTCATATGATGAAGTTAGTAGTTACTCTCATATACTAGAGTTCTATTCAAGATCTAGAGACTTAAACCATCATTTCATGAAGTTAGGGTTCATGAATCCTAAAATTCACCATCAAATGTGGATTCAACCATTCGAGTGGTTGAATAATGATTCTTTGATGATCTAATTATTGAATTCAAACTTTAAACTCATGCAAATACACTAAGTAAAAAAAACCATGATTTAGGAAACTTCCATATCCTATTTAAAAATAGAGTAAAAGAACATCACTGATTATACATTCTAAATTTCATTTGAGTTGATTCTTGCTTTTCCTCTTCACAAAAACTTCAAATCTCTTCCAGACACCTCTTCAAGCTTAAAATTGTTACACCCTAAGCTTTCCGGTATTCAAAATCATTGAAAACGACTACATAAAGGAGAAATATGAAGCTTAATTAATTTGAAGTTTGGGAAGTTGTCACATTTAATGTTTAGATTCCTCTTTTTTTCATATATATACCTTAATGCATGGTCATGTTGAAGGAGTTGGTCATCAAAAACTATTTTTTTTTTAATAAACCTCGATACATGGTTATGAAAAGAAAAATTATTATAACATTTTTCCTTACTGCATGGTCATATAGAATAAAAAATATTGATGTAATCCATCTGCCTGGTCAAATAATTTTTTTTCTTCTTTTGAATGACATAAACACATTTAAACTTATTTATTTTACATACCTTTAATTTTTTTTAACATTTGACTCTTAATACATCTTTATTTATTTATTTCTTATTTTCTACTTTTATTATGACTAAACTATTATTATCTATCATATTTATTTATTTTAACTATTTCAATCTTTGTATTTATTTATTATCATTTAATCAGATTACATTTTTATTATTTAAAGAGTAAATTACACTAATGGTCCTTGTGGTATGGAATAATCTGCGTGCCTAGTTCCTAGCTGTAAGTGTGTGTTATTTTTTTATTTTTTTATTTTCATTTTAACTTGGGCAATCCCTGTAATAGATTTTTGTTGCGTATTTGGTCTTTGTTAGATAAGAAATGACTGTATTACCCTTATTAATTTCTTTTTCTAATTTATTTATTGTTAAATGTCTTTATTTTTGTTTTTGTTATTTATTAATGTTAGTTTATTAATTTATTTATTGTTAAATGTATTGTCCTTACCATTCCACCCATTTGGTTTCCCTGCCCAAAGTAAACTACCACCACTATGTCACCGAAAATCACCACCACCTCTAATACTAGACTAAATTACAATCTCTCCCATCGGAAAACAAAATCCAAAAACCCAGATAAACCTCGATACCATAAACTTATTTAAACGAGAAATCAATTCCATAAATCAAAACTATGAATTCAAAAGATGTTTAAGGGCGCCAAAAAGGCGTGGAGCATTCTGGCGGCTCCATTTTGTTCTAATTAATGGTTTAAGACTTCTAGTTTTAGAGAAGAGAAAGATATAGCAGATTACAAATCTATATAGCGGATTACGTCTTTCGAGTGCACATCGGTGACTTTCAAGTGCATACTGACGACTCTGAATGTTTCCAACAACCCTTTATCTTCTCTCGTCAAACATCAAAAGAACAAAACCCTAACTCATTTACATAACCATACCATCATCCTTAGCCCACCATCATCAACGGAAACCGCAATAACCGGAACATTAGCCCGCATAAACCACCATCCTTCTTACCTTTCGACATCAAGATGCAGAAAAAGGAGACATTGTGATATCAACATTCCCTTCCTTATTCTCATTTAGGTGCAACGAATCATTCCTAGACCACTTAAAGCAATCATCGTGAAATCAAAACCCGACATCATGGTTTCCGGTGACTGTTCAGAAGAACCATATGGTTTACAAAAAATGGTAAATAGGTATCAAGACTCTCTTCCGATCAAAACTAGATGCATCTTGAACTTACAGATGAGTTATAAGACAGATAATGAGAATATGTCAGAGAAGGAGAACTTAACAAGATGGGGAAGGCGGTGTGGTTGGATGCAGGGGAGGAAAAACGAGAGGGTGAAGTATATGTTGGAAGGTGATTTATGTTGGGTTTAGGTTTATTACTTTATTTTAATTCATTTTTGTTTGCTAAATAGTAAATAAATATATAAAATAAATAATAAATAATCAATAAATAAATCAAAAAATAAATACGGAAGGATAATATAGTATTTTTAGGTATGACAGGGACCAAACGTGCAACAAAATTCCATCATAGGTACCGTCCGAGTTAAAACAACACAATTAGGGACCAAGGGCGTATATTACCCAAACCACAGGGACCATTCGTGTAATTTACTCTTATTTAAATTTAGTAAAATTTAATTTAATACCAAAAAGAAAAAAAATCCCTAAAATACGGATGTTACGCTTATACTACAATGATTGATGGTTATTGAATTTACGTAATTGTTTGAGGCGTATGCATTAATTGGTAAAATGGATGATGTTCGCATGAACTAAAATGAATAGGGTGGTGTTCACAGATTGTGAATATGCGAAGGATAAGGAAAAAGGCTATATTATCCTCACGTGCATAATACGTGAGGATCTTAATAGTTCCACCTTAAGAAAATATTGTGGACTAGGTATTACATTTATCAAACCTTGGGGACTAAACCTGGAGTTTACACTAAATTAAATATAAAGAAACAATATGCTTAAAGACGATATGTGTAATCATAATGATGTTAGTAGACAGCAGCCTTTCCCTTGGGTTTTTCTTTTTCTTTTTTCCCTTTCCATTTTTGGCTTCTTCTTTTCTCTTTCCCAACATTGAATTGCTTTATAGTTCTCTGTTCAGTCAAGGTTTATATTCACACACACAGAGTATGACTCTCATCAAAATCTCTCTCTCTCTCTCTCTCTCTCTCTCTCTCTCTCTCTCACACACACACACACACAAACATATATATATATATATATATATATATATATATATATATATATATATATATATATATATATATATATATATATATATATATATATGCTCTTTTTTGCCCCCTTTCTTGTGCAGTACGTCTTTGTTTTTGATATTTCATCAAGAGATATAAATAATTTATAACGGAAAACTAAATACAACTGTTTCAAAAAGTCGATATTCACTTAAAGAACTGTATGGTGTGTACTGCATTGTGTCTCCTTGCTCCTACTCTTGAATAGGTTTCTTGATCAAACTCTTAACTAGATTATATATATATATATATATATATATATATATATATATATATATATATATATATATATATATATATATATATATATATATATATATATATATATATATATATATATATATATATATATATTGTTGGGTTCTAGACATGGTGATCAGGGTCTGGCCAGTAGGTGGAGTATTTCAACCAGTCTGTCTCCTGTGGGTTTGTGATGGAATATTCCTGCAATGGAAACAAGAAATAAAATATATTATATTTTTAGGGTTAGTCTCTAAAAATGTAAGGTTCTACTTCTAGCATGCATGCCTGCATGGGATGCAATGGTGCCCAAGTAGAAAACGTTTGGTGCAATAAAGTTATAAAGCGTATGGTTAGATTAAAAATTACACATTGTTAACAAGATTTATATGGATTCATGAAAAGATGACTATAAAAGTAGTATTCAGTAACTGATAAATATTAACAAGGTTTATTTAAAGATGAAAAATCGCTATAATTGTATATACCCTCGGGATGGGGGTATATTTTCTTAGAGAAGGACCTAAAAAAAATATATTAAGGGTTGTATTGAATTGTACAATTTTTTCTTAAGTTTTCTACTCCCTCCGTTCTAATATTATTGTCCACAGACAAAAAACAAACAAATTAAGAAAAACATTAATTATCCTTAACTTTATATAATAAAATGACAGTTTTGTCTTTACTTTGCATTTAATGTTTTATTAAATGTTTAGTTGGTTAAGTAATAATGAGGGGTAGTTTGGTAAAATGTTATTTATTTTTAGAAGTGGACTATTATTTTGAGACAAATCAAAAAGGAAAGATAGATTATAATTTTGGGATGGAGGGAATAATATTTAAAGAAAATATAACCCCATGACTACACATGAAATTTCAGTTTTGATTTTTTTTTCTACTATCATGCAACTAATGAAATTTCATATGACACCTCTACTATGGAATCATGTCGCCTCTCAATGATCATTACTCATTGTTCACAATACATCATATAACCCCTCCTAGTATCAAGGAAGGATTATGTCCTTGTTATATATTGTATTCTTTCTACTTTCTCTCTAGTTAATTTGTATATAATCCCATGTAAGCTTAACTACATATAATAGTGGTCGCTTAATAACTCCATATTACATTTGAGCCATCTTCCGCTTAAACGCTCTCTAATTCATGACATCTTATACCTCAGAAACTAAATTGTTTTCTTAAGACTTCTACCAATATCCCATCAAACTTACAAAATTCAAAATTTCCTGTCTAGCAATTCTAATTTAATTTGGCCTTAATAAAATACAATCTTCTTGGCCATATTGATGACACACCTAAACCTACAAAAATTATCAAAGAAATAAAAGACAAAAATAAAGTCATTGAAAAGAGTGCATTAGAAATTCAGTCTCATATATTTGTCATCTTCTCATCTTACGTGTGTGTGTATATATATATATATATATATATATATATATATATAGTCCTCATATTAGCTCTCTAAAATAGTCTTTATAGGGAGAATGGAGACTCCAACATACATAGCCGCTTATAAGACTGTGTCGCACTAATGTGAGATATACTTACACTCTTTTCAAATTCGGAGGCTCGATGAGGATAGATAGGGATGTGCTAAGCTACAGGGTGCGAGACTCTGACTCTTATACAACTACTTATAAGACTATGTCACACTAATGTGGATATACTAACATTACAAAGCTTAGATTCATATCTGTATTCTCTTAGCTAAGAAATCTCACTATTGTATCATGTTCTTATAATAAGAAACTCCATGACAATTGTTAAGGTACTCGTTTTGTTCTAGAATACATACAAGATGTTAGGGCTACTAGTGAGCCACTTGTTATGATTGGATATTATGATATAGAAGAAGACCTAATAATGGAAATACTCAAAGGTGTTGGTGATGAAATTGAGTCCTACGTTGTTTTTATTTGGGTTCATGACACCCCGATCACATTTATAGAACTATTTGATAAGTTAGAGGACTTTGAACGTTGGGTTAAGAGATCATAGAACATCATCCCTTCAAATCCTATTACAATGAAAAACTATATGACTCATCAGTCTAACCAACATCAATCTCACAACACGAAAATCAACACTTTGGTATCTCTAACGACACACTTAAACACCCAATCAAAATCCTCTCAGTTATCATTTAAATTAGAATCCTCCCTCATCCAACTTAAATCATCCCTCAAATTGATTTGTTTGAAATTTTTGTGAAATTACAAGGAATCTAACAGGTGAGTGTTGCAAACTCGTAAGATTTCTCAAAACAAAACCAAAACATGGAGATTACTAGCTCTGAAGCTAGTGCTAACATGACATTTCACAACAAACCATCTACAGAAAATGACTTGTTGATTCTAGAACTTACCATCATGTCATTAACGATGTGAATAATTTGCAATAATTTTCAACCTATGATATTCCAAATGAAATAAATATTGATGATCATACATGTTTGAACATATCTCGTAGTGGTAGGAGCACACTTGTCGTAGAAAAAAAACTCATTTTTCTTAGACAATGTTCTATGTTCCCTTTTTATCAAAACCAATAATGTATGAGTTTCCTATTCCACATTTAAAATTGAATACAAAGTTGTTGCAAATAGTATCACATATCTCATGTAGATTCAAAATTTGCAAACAGTTTTCTTAGCTACTTTCCAAATTCCTTGACAACATACCTATCTTTGTGTAAAACCAATTCCCTATACATATACACATACACACATACACACACACACACACACATATATATATATATATATACACACACACACACACACACACACTATGACAGGTGTTGTGTGGTGTACGTATTTAATTTAGTTGTTTTTAATATATATATATATATATATATACACACAAACACACACACACACATATATATATATATTCCCAATTTATTCGCAATGATACTATTTTTCTAACATATTTTTCTCTTTTTCTCTATTAAGATTAGATTTTAATCTAGTTAAAAATAAAATTTAGGTTATGTGTAATATACTAGCTAAAAAGTTAGTTGTTATCTGATAGTTGAAAAACTATTTAATGAGCTTATAAGTTAGTTGATAGAAAAAAACGTTTTGTAATTAAACTAGATAATAAACTGATTGAAATATATAAAATTTCATAAAAAAATATTTAAGATAATTTGAGTTTTTTATAATTAATTAAGGATATATTGAGAATATTTTAAAAAATCTCGTGAAAAGATAGTCTTACAAAATATGACAAATTAAAAAATTTCGAAAAATAAATTAGCTTGTCAAGTATTTGTAGTATGCCAAACACTGCTTTATACTTTTAATCTATATTAAAATCAACTGTTCGCAAGCACAATTTTTAAACAATGGATTCATATTTTGTGTTCTTCGAATCCGAGAAATTTTGATAAGGTATTTAGCTCATATAATTCAAATAAATTTAATTATTTTTAGAGATAATTGTTTTTTAAATGGCAGAAATATATTTATTTTAAATGATAAGCGTTAATCACATACTAGCGTAATTTTCCCAAGATTTTCTTTTTGCTTTTCATTTTAAGGGGGAAGACGAGATATGGTAGTTATACCTGAATTTATGATAACTTTTTCTCTTCAATCACGTTGGGTCTTGTGTATAAATTTCTTAGGATACCATACACTTGCTAAAGACTTAGGGTCACCATCCTCTCTTTTCTTTAAAACTTACTTTTAGACATACATTTTAAGAAGTTTGTAATCAAATAAATAAAATGAAGATGAGAAGATATTTATAGTTCTATAAAAATGTTCCTTAAATGTTGTTTTAAAAGTAAGATATATCTTAAAAACAAAAAAGCTAACTGTAAATATGCTTATTTAAGTGCGATTTATCCAATATTTGTATTATGATATTCTTAATTAATACATAGTGTTAAAAAAGAAACCTAATATTTCTCTCTAGAGGGCAGATATAGTTTTTCTTTAATCTTTTTCTACTGCTAGCTGTTCAGTAAGAAAGAAAAGAGAAGCAGGTTCCACAATTTGTGGCTCATCTTTTGGTTCACTTTTTATCCTATTATTTTCCACCCTAAAGGTATAAATCAAGCATTTCATATGATTTTGTTACATATAAAATCCAGAATTGTTAATGGTTTGAATTTCGATTTTCTAACACCGCAAAAGGTATACTCAGATGCAAATAAAAACCTCTATCACACGACGACATACAGATTTTGTTTATAATTCTTTAATTAATTTAAATGTAGTTATAATTGTCACTCGATATACGATGCTTTTGACAAGATTTTTAACGTTTAGAAAAATAATATTACATTCTATACATTAATATATAAAATACGCCATAAAAGCAGTTTTTCATAAATCAGTTTTTCAGATGTACTATTAAATTTTCTATTAAATTAATAACTAGAATTAATCATGTTATAACTTACATGTATTAGATTATTAACTAGAGTAATGTTATACGTGGTAAATTTGTATAATAAGAGGTTTAAACTACAAAATGCTTAAAAATGAATGACAAAAAAGTGAAAGTATTACGAATTGTGTAAATGTATCTAATTGAATTACGGGAATATATAAAAATAACTCCTATAAATGTAATTTAATTGGAGAGTGAAATATTAGATACTTCTTTTTCTCTTTTTCTTTTCAACGTTGTGTTACTTCTCAGTGAGAACCATCAAAAGAGATAAAGAGATATACATTAACTTTTCTTTCTTTATTTTAATATTCATATTCCTTCTTTAAATCCAATATTAATTACTCTTTATCTCTTTTCTAGCTAGTGTTATATATATATATATATATATATATATATATATATATATATATATATATATATATATATATATATATATATATATATATATATATATATATATATTAGAGAGAGCAAAAAGGTGACAAAACTCACTTCTTTAACATCAGCTGATGATGATGGAGTGCACCCCATTATGAGTTCCTCCAATCCTGATGCTGATCTTCCTCCTATCTTATGATGTTGTTGCTGCTGTTTAATTTTATAGAACAACAAATTAAATTAATAAAATATGCAGACATATATATATATATATATATATATATATATATATATATATATATATATATATATATATATATATATATATATATATATATATATAATCAGTTGATTTGTACTACCATAAAAGTGTAAAAATTTTCCTAGATATATTATAATTTAATGCGACAAAATAGGTAATGTTATAATGAATATAATAAAGTATATAACGTATAATTTATTCATTTAAATAATTTATAACAAGAATCCCACCCATGCATGCATGCTTAAGGCTACAACATATTTAAGTACTCTATTTTGTTTACAGCAATAAAACATAATTATCCATGTGATCATGTATTGTCTTCATCGAAACAACAACTTGGAAAGTGCAAAATGATTACTTGTTCTCAACTTAGGTGACAAGACCAAATACCCCTTTATGTTTAATTATTATTATAGAGAAAAAAAAAATCAATACGATTATCAAATATTTGGAGGTTTTAAAGAAATACTGATTACAGTTGTATTGTTTACATTACACTTATGATGTTTAAAATGGGATTTATTTTTCATCCAAGAGTTCGATGGTTGATTTTCGTGATAAAGTTATTGTGTGAAAAACTTTTGTTAAAATGGTACGTGTCTTCAATTTTAAAACAGTTTATGGACTGGTAGAAATTTTATTTAAACATACTTGTTATTCCAGAATATATACTAAAAAATGTTATAATAATAGATAAACACGTTTAAAGATTTTTGTATCGAAATAAAAATTTAAATAATTTTAGTTTCAATTATAGGAAATGATGTTTTAAATAATATGACAAGGATCCTAAGAGAATTGATACAATTTAAGAGTATTTTCTTACCTAAACATAAAAGTAAATAAATAAATAAAGTTTGTGGTAAATGCTTTAATATTAGAAAAACCGTATAAAATTAAAAATCACGACGAATTTTTTTCCTTCAACTTGATATAGTTTACAACTTCTTCTTCTTCTCTCTCTTTTTATTTATTTATTTATTATTATTTTATAATTAATTATGCGATAACCAAACAAAGAGTTATGTTTAGATTGTCAAAAAAAAGTCTCAGCTACTAGGATACATACAATTTGATTTAATTTGTCCTACTTTGAAATTTTTGTCCATATATATTAAATTTCTACTTTTCCAAATTATGCGCTACAATTACGTAAAAATACACATTTATATTAATAACTTACCGGAAAATTTTCCATGATCCTAGACACATGAAAGGAGTCATCATCAAGAATAATGGAGGTGTGACGTAGGGGAGAAGGAGAGATGATTGCTGACATGGCATGAGATGGCCTGCTGACATGGTAGGCTGTTTCTGCCACGTGGTGCTGATGTGGATAATGCTGCTGATGATTCTCAAGGCTCATCTGCTGCTGCTGGTGTTGCCTTTGCAGGTTAGGCGCGTCGCACGTCAATGAACCCTCCCCTGTCGTCGTTCCCACCTGCATATATCACTTGTACCCTGTTAGTCCACTGCATGCATTATTACTTGTACTCCATGCATTATATATGTGAAATATAACGTACAAGCATGCATGACTTAGAATAACAAAGGTGGTATATATATATATATATATATATATATATATATATATATATATATATATATATATATATATATATATATATATATATATATATATATATATATATTGCTGATAATGCAAGCAATTTCAATAAGAAAAGCAACACTTAAACCGTTTGAGTTCATCTCTTAACCTTGCACTCAACCAATATCCACATTTTTAGCACTCAATTCATTCCCATAAGCCAAAAAGTTGATGTAAAAGACAATCAACCAATTAACCCTTTAGCAACAAGAAAACAACCCAGATTTAAAGTGGCCGTGTTTCTATTTTTATTCATAAAACCTCAAAACATAACACACGCAAGCTCAATATTTATGCCGACTATTCACCAGGTAGATTCAAATTCAGGATCTTAAAAAAGAGCAAGTTCCAAGTTCTGGTTTTTAGTTTTCTTTGGCTAATTGATGTTTGGGATTCATCCTTTTTGTGATATTGTGAGTCCCATTAATCGAGTGTAAAGAATAGGATATATGTGGTTGTTGGATTTGATCAAGAAACATACCTCACCAAAGCTTTTTCTATAGGGGATGAAGCTAAATTGCTCAACACCTTTGAAATGTTGCATTTGATCCATTGGATTGTAATTTGACATAACCGCACCCGCAAACTCGTCTCTAATGTTACTGTAAGTTTCAACAGTAGGAGTAGCAGTAATAGTAGCAGTAGCTGTACCAGCGACATTAATTTCTTTTGAAGAAGAACAACTCCCACTTCCGCTCCCACTCTCTCTCCTACTAACATTATTCTTTTCATATATATTATTTACACCTTCAATATGAATGTTATTCATAGCTCTTTCGGACCAATTACATTGCCTTGGTTGAGTTTGGAAAAATATCTTCGATACAACGAGCTCACCTTCTCTCTCCTCCTCGAGTTGTCCAAGATGATATTGATGCATTACCCAATTTGTCTTTTCGGGTTTTCGGTTTTTCCCAAAGTTGGTATAGAGTACCAAGATTTTCTTGCATCCCTTTTGCTTTTGGTTCACCATAACGGGTCGGGTCTTGCCTGTTTTGTGCCACCGTGTTTCACCACCTTGTAGGTCACATTCCATTTGGATTTTTCGTCTTTTTCGTGTACCCGTGGTGTAGGCTTTGGAAGGCCGATGAAAGAAATGTCTACTCAATCCATCTCTTGTAACTCCTAGAAGATCAAAAAAGAAAAAAATTGAAAGTCATAACAAACAAAAACGCTATAAAAATTAGGTTATCTTAGGTGTGACAAGTGCAAAATTCACTCAAAAAAGTCAAAACAAACAAGAAAACCCTAATTTCTTGGGTGTCTTATAGTAAAACCTAACTGATTGAACTATTGAAAACACAAGAAAAGATATTTATGTGATCATGTGTTTTCTTGTGCTTGTGGGTGTTCTTTATTCTTATCCTTTAATTTCGGCTTTCCAGGGTGGTGAAACTTGAAAACCACCACTTAATTTCCGTTGTAAATCAAAACTCACCAGGGAGTTTTTCGGGATGAGTATAACAAATTCCATCTTCTCCTTCGATAGTAGGGATGAACTCATCTATCAAAGGGTGAGATTTATTTGAGTTTTTAGCTTCCACTTTTGCTTCAAGATGTTCTATCAGCTCTTGATCAGTTGGATCAAATTTCACTCCTGCTGGTAAACCTACCCAATCCTGCAAATGAAAAAAGTAACAAGAAATTATTAATATATATCGTATGAATTTCAACAAAAGAAAAGCTTAGGAATTAATAAATCACTAGAGAAAGACAATCTTTTTATTATGGGATTTGTTTATGTGTATCTTTTCTTGAAACAAGAGATTTAAATATAGAAGGGAAATTCAGCAGCAAGCATAATTCTATTCTCATGTTTGATTCTTATTTGTCAAAATCTTATAGTTGAAGCTAAGAATATTATGAGACGATTGTATCTATATATATGTACATTAAATTAAACAAAATTATACCCCTACAACGTACCGGTTTTCCTTCAAGTTTATGGCCACAACCAGGACACTGTTTGGATCCACAAAATTGATGCTCTTCCAGCTTTGCATCAATGAGATCAGAGCTGCTGATATTCATTTCTCTTACTACACAACGGGGCTTTATTTATTGGCTAATCGATCAAGAACAGCGGCATGAAATCCTGATTTTGATCACCACACGTAAGAAAAGAAAATGCTAGAACTCAATCCTCGTTAGTTTCTGCTTCGTCTTCTTTTACTACTACTAATACTATATTGAGATCTGATGGTTCTGGACAGATGATGATGAAGAAGAAGACGAAGAAGTACAGACACTAGAACACGTTCAAATACGTTTTTAGGTGAAAAACAAATGAAAACGAGATTGGAAGGATACCCGGATGAGATATATTCTTCAAAAGTGGAAATATTCCAAGGATAAATATACTAAGAGTTTGTGTGAGAGAGAGAGAGAGAGAGAGAGAGAGAGAGAGAGAGAGAGAGAGAGAGAGAGAGAGAGAGAGAGAGAGAGAGAGAGAGAGAGAGATGCTTTAACCATCAAAAACACCAGAATTCCCTCCAACTTTACCTGAAGCAAGTGAGATAAAGGAAAAGGTGTGTCTCTTCTCTTCTCTTTTACTTCCCCTAATTTATATAATATAATAGCTCTATCTTTTTTTTAGGCGGTTGATATATATATATATATATATATATATATATATATATATATATATATATATATATATATATATATATATATATATATATATATATATATATATATATATATATATCCTACTCCTAATAAAAGAATCCTTGTTAGCCGCGTGTCCATTCAATAAACTTCATTCACCATCAACTAAAATTACCACTTTACCATTCTATTCTTTAATCTTAGAAATACCCTTCTTCTCCCTAAATCTCGCTTCCTCACAATACGATATTCAAAGGATATTCAAATTTTGAAATATGAAAATGGCACTATCCCCAAATGTGGGTACAATCGACAAGAGACTCTTTTTTCTTCCTTGGTCCATCATATCATATCCTCTTCTTACATCTATCCTCTCTCCGATGCTAAGCTCGCATGAAAATGTTTCACAACTATATTGAACTTGAGATTAAGAGAAATGACATGAAAGGTAAAATTATTTGATTCTGCGTTTTTTTAAGAAAGATATTCATGTATGATTTTCCTGATTTATGTTCAATTATGACATGTGTTGGGTATTATGTGTTGCGTCATGGGTCATTCTTTTGTATATCCGGTTTAGGCCTGTCTAACCGTTATTATATATTAGGATTACGTATTATATATAGTGCATGCATGTATGCCTTAGAAGATATGATAGTCATTTATTATCTCTGTTGCATTGTAACCCTAAACATCTCTACAGTCGAAGTTCTTAATCGAGCTCTTCCGAGGTGTTCAAGTTAATCATTCGACATCAGTTAAATCATTCTTGTGTTAATCAATTCTTTATCTTTATTTTTCTACTTGAATCTAACGATCTTTAAGAAGTTTATATTCCAATAATTGGTATCAGAGCATGAGACTATGTTACTCATACGCATTCCTTCTATGTGAAGAATTCATTAGGGTTTCCGCTTTTATCAAATATATAAAGACCGTCTTCTACATGTCGACGGTAACTCTAGTGTTTGATAAAATCCTAATCTCAAGTTTACAAGTCTGATTCTAGCGGATCCAGAGCACAGGCTCATCATGTCACACGAAAACTCTCAAATCAATCCCATCAACATCTCAAATAGCATTGGATCATCCACAAGAATTCCCATTCTTTACACTCAACACTATGATGTATGGGCACATCACTTTGAAGATTACGTGGTTGGATATGAAGATAATGGTTATCTCATCTAGGAGGCTATCACAATCGTTCCGTTCGTTCATGTTGGAACAAGTAGGACAGTGAAGACTCAACAGGAGTACAATTAGCTTTTGGTGGACGTAGAAAAGATTCCACAAGATGAAAAAGAAAAGTAGTTGTGCAATCTCAAAGCCTTGAGGATGATCAGATTTTCCCTACAAGCCTATACCTTCCGTCTGGTTAGTTCATGCACTACTACGAAAGCAATATGGGACAGGCTGAAAGAATTGTATTCGACCGAAGAAGATCTAGAACACTCAATACAAACCTTGTTACTCTCTAAGTTCGGTGCTTTTGCTCAAAAACCTGAGGAGACTTTTCTTCAGACGTTTGATCATTACAATCATCTGCTCAGCAAGATGATGAAGCACAATATTGAAAGAAAGGAGATTGAACAGAAAGTCACGTTTATGAATGGCCTGAGACTTGAGTGGATGGCAGTGGTCTCAACTATAAAGGTTCATAAACAATTCAAATCTTACTCGCTGGCAAAACTGATGGGCATCTTAAAATCCCATGAAAGCACGATAATAAAAGAAGCGAAGGTTGTGTCTGGCATGGGCTCTTTAGCCCTTATCTCAAAAGGGAAGAATGTGGCGAAAGAAGAAGATGACTCAGATATGTCTGAGTATAACCTTACAGGTGAAGAATATGCAATGATGGTCTCCATCCCTAAGAAGTTTGCAAGAAGGAAATTCCCTACCAATAAGAACCGAAACTGGCAAGGGAGTTACAGCTCCGAGAAGGCGAAAGAAGAATCGAAGAACATCTCTCAAAAGGATGATGATAAGAAATAAAGCAAGCTAGTAGGAGATTCTGGATACGATTGCAATTATTGTCACAACAAGAACCACATTGCCAAAGATTGCATGTTACGAAAGATGGATGAGAAAAAGGATAGTGAAGATGATGAGGCTTATCATACACAAAAGATGGAAGAGCTAAAGAAAAAGAAGGTAGCTAACAATTCTATGAATGTCTTGATTGTGCATAAGAATGTGGTCGATGATGAGTTTGGATGCATTGAAGTCTGGTCAACAGACTCCGAGGATGAAGAAGTAAGGAAACGCTCACATGGCAGAGTATATGTGGCAAGAGAGGAAGTTAACAGTTTGGCTGGGAAGTGCTTGATGGTGACAACAGGAGTACCAACAGAAGACGAGCTTAAGGAGCCGAACTTGAAGGTGGACAAGTGTTTTGTAGCAAAGCCCATGAGTGAAAGGATTAACAACTACGATCAGTTGATCAAAAAGGTACAATCCATCCTCGAATCTCTTAAAGTTCCATCACAAATTATGAAGAAGAATTAAACAAGCTTAAATTTAAATTTACTAATCGAAGTAGTAGTCTCATGCAAACTCGCTTAACGAACTCTGACCTAACTGACCAACTTAGCAGGGAGTTATCGAAGAGTGAGGAGAGTCGCATGTGGATTGAGCTGAAGGAGACGGAGCTAACTAGGTCTAGGGATGAGATTATCTATTTACAGAGAGACAATTTGAAGTTTTTAAAACAAAGAAACATTTTTTGCTTGGTTGCTAAATGTTTATATACTAATATTACTCAATTTCATTTAGATTGTGAAATAGGGAAAAAGATTCATAAGATGATCTTGCCATTCCTTGAGTTTAAGGAAGATGAGGTCATTGCTTAATGTGAATCCATAATGTCCTCAGAAGAGACTCCCGTCACTTATAAAATCGGTCTGGACAAAATTGAATCTTTCATTGACTCAAAAGAACACAAATGCATGCTTAAAAGGCTCTTAGATGAAAACGATACGTTGAAAATTAAGATAGAGACCTTACAATCATTTGACTCCTTAAACGCCAAATTAATGACCGAACATAAAATTAATGTAGAAAGTACGTCTGAATTTGATGAGGAGAGTGAGATGAGTGAAATTTCAGTGGAAGATGTAGTTGATTGATCTGAGTTTTTGAAAAGCGAAACCAAGAAACCCCTTATATCTGAAAATTCAGTTGAATATGCACGTTTGTCAAAGGACAAGTCAAAGAAACTTAAAGAGAAGGTAATGGTTTACCAAAAAGTTCAAACCGTGCCAAATCAGGTTTATGCTGTCATAGGGGTCACTGGAAAACAAACAATAGAACTAAAAATCTTGGTTGACAAAGACAATGTTGAAGGGTGTGATAATTATTTCTGGTTCGCTTTTATCGATAATGCAGACGAGACCGCCAGTCTATCAGAGTGAACCTCATGGAGGGTAAATGGTAGATATGTTGCCGAACCAATCAACAAACCCTCAAGCTTTGACAAACCAATTTCAAGTGGGACAAAAGAGATACCAGAAGAACCGAAGAACACAACCAATGTATCTTCCAACACAACTGAAGCTAAAAAGGAGATACCAAATTCAAGCTTCAACATTCATAAATCTCAAAAGCAGCTGGTTAGATAGAAATGCCAATGAAACCAGAGATACATGAAAATTTTGAATGAGAGAAAAAGGTTTTGGCAATCTCAAAACCCTAACCATGTTCCCTCGAAGAGAGAAGTAAAGGCTAAAGAAAATGACAAACCAGAGATCAAAAAAAAAAAAAAACATCAGTCCTAACTCTTACTATTCCAAGCTAAAAAGGAGATACCAAATTCAAGCTTCAACATTCATAAATCTCAAAAGCAGCTGGTTAGATAGAAATGCCAAGGAAACCAGAGATACATGAAAATTTTGAATGAGAGAAAAAGGTTTTGGCAATCTCAAAACCCTAACCATGTTCCCTCGAAGAGAGAAGTAAATGCTAAAGAAAATGACAAACTAGAGATCAAAAAAAAAAAAAGAAAAACATCAGTCCCAGCTCTTACTATTCCAGAGCTCAAAACCAAACATCCAGTTTCTGTTCCGACTCCAAAGGACAGAACCGAACATCCAGTTTTGGTTTCAACAACAGAGTTCAGAACCGAACATCATGGTTCGGTCCCAACACCAAGACTAAGAACTGAAGGTCAATTTTCGGTTCTTCCCAACAGAAACCTTACTCAACAAAGGATGTTAAAGGGAAGGGAAAGCTTGATTCTAATGCAAACATCAATAATAATAAAAAGGAAGCTAACCCTAGGGGATCAAAAGAAGATTCCAACTGACAAAACACCATATGGTTGTTAGGTGCATTTCATGCATTCATTTTTTATAGTTTTAGTTCATAAAAGTGCATTACATTTAGGTTTAGACTCATGCATTTTGTATAATTTTGGGATTTTTCATGATGCAATTCCATTCACACGCTTTCAGGATATTTCAGGGACTTATGAAGGTTGGATCTTGTTGGAGGAAGTTATCAAGAGTTGGAGACAAAGTTGTAGAAGTTTTGGAGCTTTGAAGAGAGAGAATGAAGAAATGAAGAATTTGGCTTCACAGGAGTTTACACGGCCGTGTAAATTTATGCCTTTGATTTACACGGGCCGTGTAAACGTATATGCAAGGACATTCTACTTCGAAGACCTGGAAGAATTAAGCATTCTACTTTTCTTGTTTACACGGCCGTGTAAATGGAACCCTTTGATTTACACGGGCCGTGTAAACGTCTCGGTAGTTTTAAAGTGGTTTTGTCTTCTTATAATTCAGACAATCAGTTTTTATGGAAGTTAGGTCGGATT